GTAATTCATGGCCTTTTATTAAAAGTTACAACAAATTAAAATGAGTGAGCACAGATAAAGCAATTTAGTTTGAAAGCATGATCTTTTAAACATCATTTTTCAATAATGATATAGGTATGACAAATTATATATATATTAATATAAAATAAAAACTAGGTAAGAATTACTATAATTCAGAGACTGAATTCAATCTTGATTGAAACACAAGAAGGGATGATCTAGGGAATTGACCATTCTTGGGATCACTGCTGATGGGAGAAATCTTGAGAGAAAGTTCAGTTCACTGAGATTAACTGCTCTGGGTCCACGTTGTTTTGCAGGATCACCTGCAAGAATTACTGACTACTTTCTTAGGATACCTGATCTCAGCTACCTATTCTTCATCAAGAGAATCTAAGGCTGGTTGGTTTATTCAGATGAAGCCCAATGGCAGGGAAACTACAGCCCTCTTCAGGTGTTTATTTAAATTTAGGAGAGTCTCAAAGCAGGTAGAGACACCCTGCTGGCGTTCCAGAGGGCCATAAAGATCTGGCTTTCTCCCAAGCTGTGGGCTGGGTGGCCGGATGAGAGATGGTGGGTTCACCGTCTTGTTCTCTTTCCTTTCTCTTCTAGTTGGTTTTTGTTTTACTTCTTATTGTTTCATTTTTATACTGCTTAATGTATTGTGAGCTGCCCAAATTTAGGAGGCATCAAATTGAATAAAATAAATAAATGAAAAAAATAAAACTTACATGTAGAGTCTAGAATTCTATAAATATGCATGTAAACTACTTCACAATTCTATTATTTTAGGTGAGATTAGTGTTTTTTAAATAAGAAATGAAGTAAGACCATTTTATTTATCATAAAGAAAACATCATATATTGAGATAAAAAGCTATTTTAGCTTATTTTAATGAATTACTTACTAGTCTTGCCACAAGATTATTAAGATTCAATCCGTATTTTGCAACGACTGGATGCAGAACTTCTGTTACTGGCTTGGTAGGTTTAGCCTTTAAACCAACAGATCTGTTTATAGGGATGAGGTCAAGCCTAAAATGGATGAACAAACTGAGTAAATACTCATTACTGAGAACCATTCAGGACACAGATGAGTCCTACAATCTGTTTGACAATGTGAGAAACTAAGAAAACTGGCCACAATATAATTCATTCTATGCATTCAGGGCGTCCATGGGACAGGTGTGTGTATGTCCAAAATGTCAAGATCATGGTGGCTATCATCATGCAGTCACAGTTGCCATCATGACTTTTTTAAACACCTCCACCCTGGATGCATCTCCTCTGACACGCACATAATGTTCACAAAACCATTCCAACATGCACATTACTTTAGCTCCATCATTGCTGCTTTAGTACAGCATTCAGAATAATCCCTGCAGAAGGGGAGGGAAACCTGAGGAGCCTAGATGCCGCAGGGATTCCTAAGGAGTAAGAAGAATGTAGGATCTTGGTACTTCTTCATTGAATTTTTTTTTAAATTTAATTCCACTTTATAGCTTAAAATGAAGTGCCAGTAACCCCAAAAATGAAAATAATAAATTGTTTTTAAAAGGCTGAAATCTTAACCTATTTTTTAAAATAATAATTTTAAAGAAAAATTGGTGCCTATAACATTATGCAGAAAAGGCTGCTGACTCCTGAAGTTTTACTTGTGGTCAGTGAAAGGCAGCGCAAGAAATGTAAGGATAAGACAAATATTTAAAATTAGCATGGAGATCTCAATGGTTCACTGTGTGGTGCAGAATGTTCCACCACAAATCCTGTACATCAAAGAAATACACCAAACAACTGAAACGCTCTGCCAGGGCCCCCTTGTCCAAGGAGGAGAAGCTGCCACAGCCCTGGGAGAGATGAATCAGAGGGAAGCTCAGCACCCAGGATGCCAGCGCGATCTGCTTCCAGCTCCAGGCAAGACACACAGATCTGCCCATCAGGTCTTCATGAACAAAGAACAAAGGGGAGAGAGCAGAAACGTGAGTAAAAAGGCATTCTGAAAGTAAATATGACTTTGAGGGTGGGTTCTTGCTCTGGAAGAGTCTGGTGACCTGCTGAAGAGGAGGCCAACCAGGTACAGCTGATACAGGTGTTATTTCATGGCCTCCCCGTGCTCAAGGAGAGGCTTGGATGCAGCCATTTCCAAGGCTCCCCCAACTGTGTCCGCAACGGCCTCCCACTGGGTGACTTGCCTCCCACTGGAGGCTGGCAAGCTCAGGAAACACTTGGAGGTCTTTCCAGAAAGTAACAGAATCTTGAAGCCCTGCCAAAACAATTCTCCCACACAGCCTACTGCTTGTGGAATTAAGGCTCTGAGTCTCCTTCTCACACATCCCACTCCTCTGGACTCCAGAATCTCTTTGGCAACTGTCCTCTTTCCTCCCTTAACTGCCTTGGTGCCCCCTCTGTGCTTACTTATTTACTAAACAAATGTATATGGCCATCCATCTACCAGAAAGAACTCTGGGTGATGATGAACAACAATAAAAACAATACACTTACATTAACGCAAAAAAAGGCAACACTGAGGCCATAATAAGACTCACATCCATAAATCAGCCCTACCACACCACCTCCATCAACATCCCAGTCCCAACGGTTGGGGCAAAAGCCAGGTCTTCACCACTTTCCTGAAGGCCAACAGGACAGAGCCACCCCTATCTCCAGGGGGAGACTGTTCCATAGAAGACACACTTCTGAGGCCCCACCAGGCAATACTCTTTCACCAAGAGGCACTGGAGTGTGCCCATCCTGCCAGATCTACTGGGACAGGAAGAAACCATTGGCGTTCCCAAGGTCTGTCAGGCGTTCTATCATATGCTTAGGCTTCAGCTGGCAAGGCAGGACTGGGGGATCATGGGCAAAGCCATAATGAGAAAATTCCAGCATTTCAAGTACAAACCCTTTATATAGACTCAACATTCAAGCCCTACTGTGCTTCTTTCAGTGAAATTAAGCCCAGAAATAGTCATCTATAGCAGCCATCTCCAACCTGGACCTTTCGGAAGCACAGACAGGGGAAGGTGGTGATAGGAACTGGGGACTGAAACATCTGGAGGGTAACAGGTTGGGAAGACTATCTACTGAAGCACTTCAAAAAGGAAGGGTAACATTAAACCCATTGACCTGTACAGTATGGAAATACAGGAGGATGTATATCAGAAGTGAACAGAAGCACAGCTATTCTTCAAGAAAAAGCAAAATGTAAAAAGCAAAATTAAGAGAAACATTCATGAGAAGGCAATTTGAAGGAAAAAATAAATTCAGAAGAAAAATGGATCCATGGATGAACCAATCTCATCTACATGGAGGGAAGAAAGGATGGAGTCTGAAATGCAGTCCAGCAGTGAAAGTTTCCTGTTCTCTTTTAAGGCTGGTTCAAATTCATTTTGACAATGACTGAAAGAGTTCAGAAATTACAAGATAGGATGTTGTTTTTTTTACCGAAATAAAGTTCTCTTTTCTAAGCGAAGAGTTCGAGAATCCAAAATCCTGCTGTCCTGATGCAATACAAGTGGCTATGAATATAAAAGAAGAGAACATGTTCACATGTAATTGGTGAGTTAATTAATGAACTGAGAACTTTCAATGCCACCCATAAAGAATGGAGACTTTTACTCCAAAGAATACATCTAATGATGCCTTCAACGAAGACTTCTGATTAGAATTTGTTTTATTTAAAGTTAAATGTATTTTGCTTTTCAGAACACTGAATAAAGCACAGCAGCTGTATGATTTATTATTTACTTTGGTAATACTTTGGTTGATGGTGGTTCCTGTCTGCAGGTATGTAGGAAATTGAGAAAAATGTTGGGGTGTGGGGGGTTTTGTTTTCTAGCTCAAGACAAAGCAGCCTTGCTTGGAACATTCTATCAGAAGACCCCAAGAGGGCTGCCTTCTTCACAGAACCCTACTCAAAACTTTTCAAGTATTCCATCACAGGGAGCAACTGAAACTTAAGATCAGTGCTTTGTTCCCTCCTTTTGCCCCCAGGACCACAAACATAGCTAGGAGAAGAGCTGGGTTCGTCTATGGTATCAAAAATCAGGAGGAGTCTGGTAGCCCCTTTTCTAACTCACCCATTTTATTCATAGGCAGAAGCTTTTGTGAGCATCCCACAGCTTGAGGTACTTCAGTACAACCCCTGAACAGTGACAATAAGACTACCTGTCTCAGTTAGCACAGTGTATAGTTCTTCACCTGAGAACCTGCCAGCAATAGCCCACATACAAATAAAAAACAGTCTCTGGATCCGGCATGCAGCCTCTGTGCTCAGGAACATCAAGAAGACTAGGCATAGACTGCACACATTACCTCAAACACCTCAAAACCATTGCATTTTACAATATAAGAACCACAACATAATTCAGGTAAAGTTGCCTTTGAATCAGGCTTGACATCTGGTGACTACATAGCTCCCCTTGGCAAGAAGATGGAGGTGGTTTGCCAGGGTCTCCATCCAGGATGTTGACTTCATAATCTAACCCTGATATGTTCTGCTTCTCTCCCTTCCTAGGACCAAACGTGGTTGATCCTGCTTAGTTTTTTAATATCAGGCAAACTCAGCAAGATGCTGTCAACTATATCAACCTCTAACAACTTTCTGCCTGCAAGAGAAAACACAACACAGAATATAACATCCCGTTTGAAAATACCTTGACTACTAACTTCTGCCTAGCATGAATTATATAAACAATTATTGTATCTACCAGGCAGGCAATAATGTGTTATGTCCAACAATTTGTTTTTGGGATCAGCTCTCCGGAACCACCCAGGGGGCCGGCGCAGCCCCCCTTCTGAACCAGGCAAGCCAGTGTCTGGGGCCCAGCAAGAGCAGCATCTCTTCTCAGCCCCCTCCCCTCAATTTGCCTTGGCCAATATAAGCTGGAATGGAATAGATTCCTTCTGCTTTATTGGCTGATTTAAACCCCAACCTATAAAACAACAAGCTAATCACAGGACTCGAGGCTTTTGGAAAATCTGGAACAATGGGAATGGCCTTGTTTTGTCCCAGGCGTAGAAGAAAATCATGTCAGCACAAAACCTTCACAACTGGTATTTGAGCTTGGAATTCTTCATACCCTAGTTTGTTTCCCTCTACAAAAACTAAGGCTTCATTAGAGTATGTCAAAGTCCACAAAAATAGGCTTTTTCATACCAATTCTGTACCTTTGGAATAACTGAAGGATCAGGTTGGAGACAGGTAATCCTGGAGAAAATGTGGCTGGTCGGAGTTGACATTAACTTGATGGCTCAAAGGCATAATCATAACCCTTATCCATCCTTTTATAACAAAGTGCTTTTTTGTGGGACCTTTTAGTAACCTCCCGTTACTTTGAGCAAATCCCGATAGTTAATGAATGACATTACAGTGGAGACACAGAGAGAAATAGCAGAGCATCTGGCAGTTCTGAAGTGGGCTCCAAGGCAGCCCTGTCCTGTCCTGTCCTGTCCTGTCCTGTCCTGTCCTGTCCTGTCCTGTATTACTCCTTTCCCAAAAGACCACGCTGACGAAAGGAGACCACCTGGACTTTTCTGGGGTCAGTGAAAAGTAGCTGCTCCACAGCTTGCTTTCCTCTATTCCTTTTGTATCTTGTGGCTTACATACTGAGTTGAAGAGAGGGATGGTTTAATGGTTTAATATCTATATGGCCTTTGGAAAATGTTGGCCCGTCAATGTTAATTAATAAATAAGAACCATGAAATTGAAATACCTTATCTCCACCAATTAAAAACAGATCTACTGCAGCCATGTTAATGCCTTGCTTTTCACAGAACTCAGATAACACATCTTTGATTGAAAATCCACCTCTTATGGGCATTGCAAAAGTGGAGCCATCTGGAAGGTTGACGTGGCAGCACTTAGAAGGCTTCTCCTTTTCCATGGTAGGTCCAGATACTCTGTAGGACTCACCCTTTCAAGAGAAAAAGTTAATGTCTGCTATGGAAATGAACTGTGGAATTTAAAGAGAGCAAAGTAGGAAGTTTTTTTTAGCAAATAACAACAAATTAAGTAACTATGCATGTTTAGCAAAGAAATACTTGATGCTGACCTTACCATAATGGAGTTTATTGACGCTTGCAAGAATACATGTATTTCATGACTGTGCCAGCTTATATTTCATTTAGGTTAGCTGGATTGGTTCCACAGTTCTTAGTTTGTTCCTGGAGGCTAGCCAGCAAAGCACCTTTGTTATTCAAGGGAGATGGGTTCAAGACAGGAGCCCCAACAGACTCAGGTTCCACATCTTCTACAGCAAGGAGACGTGGTCAGCTTCCTAATAATTCATAGTTCTTCTGGTGATTGCTACAGTGAGAAACCACTGCACTGGGGGGGGGGGGCATGTTCATACAAGGAGGGGAATAGACAACAATCTACTGCAGAAATAGCAGCAGTGAATGTAGATAACTATGTACCCTTATGTTTTGACTTTCATAATTTCTATGCCAGTACTGTATACCAAGATTTCTGAAAAAACATACAGCTAGTACTATACCAGTTTACTCAGACATAAAATTTATTGAATTCAAGGGCAACTTGGGGTCAAATATGCCATTTTAAAAAACAGCATAAGGAAGTGACACTGATATTAATGAGACTGCAGTGCATGGGTGATACCTTCACTTTAGTAAAAATCTCTGTGCTGCCATTTTGCCCAGCTGAATCCAACTTACTTGCAACTTGCAAGTAAGCAGTATTAAGGATTTATATATCCACATACTATACTGAAATCCTGCTTTGTCCTCCTGAAGCTCAAGCTGGCGTCCATAAAACACTCTTCCCCAATTTTATTCAACAACCATCATATGAGGGAGGTTGAGCTGAGAGCTAGTGACTCACCAAAGTCATTCAATGAGCTTCTGTGGCTGAGGGTAGACTTCAGCCTGGATCCCCCAGATTCTAGTCCAATGCCTGAACTCTACACTACGCTGGCTCATTTTCTAAGTGAAAGGCAATTTTTCTTCATGGCACGAGTATTTATAATGCTTTTTTCTTTTACATTAAGCAATCATGCTAACAAGAGCCTCTGCCAGCATTGTGCTGATGGCTGCCAAACTCAGTTTTGATGATGATGATGATGATGTATTGGCCGCCCAACCATAAGTGGACTCGGGGGTCTTTTGACAAGAAGTCCCAGAGATATCCCAGACACTCTAAATTTTCAATCCAAAAAGGCAAGTCTTACCATCTCAAGACTCGCAGCTGATGACAGTGAATCTTGAGATTTATGTCTGTAGGATAATCCACTAGTCTGAGAAGAATCTGTGGAGAAATGTTAAGTCGTAAGTCTCAATTAGTTAATGTTAAGCCTCATAATCATTTTCAAGAACCTTAATTCAGCTTTCTAGACTTCTCCACTTGAATGCATACTTTCTCTGATTGTATGAAGGTATTAGAACTCTGTTTCAAAAATGAACTGAGATGGCTCTATGAAGGCTGTGACTGACATTCTGAAGATTTTCTAACTCTCCTTTCCATCTCCATATAACTAGAATAGGATTGATTGATTGATTGATTGTCAGTCAGTCACATTTATATCTCCATGCTCCTGACAAGCCACCCCACAGCAGTTTTTATTACAGCTATAAATAACACTAATAACACCAGCTAACATAAAAACATTAAAACAGCATCAATAAAACAATAAATAACACATAAAGCCAAACCAACTACTATACAAAATCTTGAACAGTTCAGGAAAGAATAGCTGTTTACACGAACAAATCTTTAGGTATCTGTTAACATCAGGCAGCAATGGAGAGAACCACAACTCCAGGGGAAGGAGTCATGCACCACTGATGCCCGCCCTGGCCCTGGCTGTTTCTCCTAGGACCCACTTCTAGGCAGCCTGTGTCACAGATGCATGGAATACGAATGAAGCACCTGGTTCATGAAATAATGAGCCAGTTGTTCCTTGTGGTGGGTACAGCCCAAAGAATAAAGGGATTCATGTGCTAAAAACACTTTGAATTTGGCCCAGAAAACAGTGCAGCTGAGCCAGGGCAAGGGTCCCATGCTCCATGAGCCTGTCTGCTGCTTTCCTGACCTTTCCAGATTTCCTTTAAAAGCATCCCTGGGTAAAATGCATTACAATAATCTGTCTGGAAGGTAAGCAATGCATAGATGGATGAAGGCAGGTCAGCCTATCCAGGAAGTGGAGAAGTCACTTCCAAGTCACAAACTGGCATTTTCAGAGGGACCTGACGTTCCTGACAATTACTCCTAGTGGCTTCATACAGACATGGAAGAGCATGGGAAAGTAGAATAAAACTCTGTGGCAACCCACAGTCCAAGACTGAGGGACAAGCAGTCATCCCCCAACACTCCTGAATGGAAACAGCCAGGAAGAACAATGACCTCTGACCTCCGACTCCCTCAGGAGGTCCAGGAGGAGATCATGGTCAGTGGTATCAAACAGCCACTGAGAAATCCAGGAGCACAGCAGAAACACACTCCCTCCTCACTCAAGTGGGCTGCCCTGGACTGATGTGGTTCGACACTTTTATAAATGATATGGATGAGGGAGTTGAGGGAATGCTTACCAAATTGGCAGATGATGCAAAGCTAGGAGGTGTGGCTAATACTTGGGAGGAAAGGGGGGGGAAAAAAACATGCTAGAACAGTGAGTGGAAATAAACAGAATGAAATTTAACAGGGAGAAATAGAAAGCCATGCATCTAGGTAAGGAAAACAAAAGAAACATGCTCAGAATGGGGGAAATTTGGCTAGATGTACTAGTGGATCACAAGGTCAGCATGTCCCAACAGTATAATGCAGCTGCAGGGAAGGCCAACGACATCCTGAAAAGCATCAAGAGGAGCATAAAGTCCAGATCGTGGGAAGAAATTAATTATCCCACTGCCTTGGTCAGGCCTCACTTGAGAATTGTGTTCAGTTCTGCACAACCCAGTTTAAAAAGGACATTGATAAAATGGAGCTACCAGAGAAGAGCTACCAAGATGGGAAAGGCCTGGAAACTAAATCCTATGAGGAATGGTTAAAAGACCTAGTTATGTTTAGCTTACACAAGAGAAAGTTAAGAGGGCACATGATAGCTGTCTTCAAATATCTGAAGGGCTGTAACATCGTAGAGGATTTGAATTTATTCTAACCTGCTCCAGAGGGTTAGACTAGAACTCATAGGATGAAACTTCAAGGATGTAGATACAGATTAGACATGAGGAAGAACTTCTTGACAGTAAGAGCTGTCAGTCAGTGGAATGGGTCACCACATGGAGGGGTTCTTCCCCTTCACTGGAGGTTTTCAGAGAGAGGTTGATTAGTCATCTATTGGGGTTGGTGTAGCAAATCCTGCAATTTGCAGGGGGTTGAACTTAATCACCTCTTAGATACCTTCCAACTCTACAATTCCATGACTCTCTCAACAGAATGTCCTTCAGGTAGTCCTAAGTGGTTTTCAGGACCCACCCTGAAACCAGCCTGAAATGGATGTAGATCATCAGTATCACCCAGAGGTGCCTGGAGCTGCTTAGCCACTACCTGCTCAATCAATTTAATCAAGAATGATAAGTTAGAGATCTTCCAGGGAAGCAATGGTGGATGTGACAGAAAGAGGAGCCAGTGAATGGATCGGTTCCTTGGAATTCCTCTCTGGATCAAGGAGAGGTCTAGGATCATCCACCAGTTTGCTCCATGCATAGACTCCCCACAAAGAGATTGTAGTATAGCGATTTCTGGCTGGTTTGACAGCTCTGAGAGCCAGGAGAAAATCAACCTGCCTAAGCCAAAGTTTGGCACCTTCATTTGAACACTGGGTTTGCCAACTTCTTTTTTTGGTTCTTTCTTTCATGGTTACCTTAGGAAATTGCTTGTTATTGGTCTTTTGAATGTTAAGATCTTCTGAAGGGCAACTTCCATTATGCCAGGAGAGTTTCCTTCTATCCTGGATGAAAGAAGTTCCATGTAAGTTCAAAGATTAAAAAGAAAAAATTTAATTTTTGTAAAACAGCAAAAGAGGAACTAGAATGTTGATTTTGGAAAGTTAAGGGGCCAGATGGACTTGAAAGAATATTTCCTGTGGGTTGTTTAAAATGTTATGAAAGTATATATGAAGATTCTGAAATTAACTGTAAGAAATCCTCCTGTGGGAAAGTTTTGCTAATTAGAAAATAAACATATGATAAGACGGGACTCTGAAGGTTGACTAGTGGGAACCAGAGAGAACTAAGGATTACAATTAAAGGAGAAGAGACCTATTAATACAGTGGAGAAATA